TTTAATTAATATATATTTATTTACAGATTTTTCTTACAAGTTAATACTATTAAAAAGTAAATAAAACTATATAGAAAGTGCATTAAATAATTATTTATTGTAACTTATACAAGCAGCAAAAAAAACCCCAAACATTTTGTAATTATAAAATATTTGAATGACCATTTGAGGCTCAGTGGAATTTTATATCATTTTTTCCTCATTTATTTATCACTTTTTGTTGTTGTTTATTTACATTGCCTGCGGCTGTTGCTTATCAGGGGAATTGTTTGGATTTCATTTTATTTATACTGTGTCATAAAAAACAAATATTAATTGAGATTATCGCAATGTGATATTGCTTTATTTACACGTTATAATTAATTGTTCTTATTTATTGAATTTGTATAGCCTTCCAACCTGCTCTACCCCTCTCTCTCTCTGACACCACCTCTTAAATTGAGTTATTCGCACGACCATAAATAAAATGCGACGAATATGTGCATAAAATTAAACTTGTTTAAATGACATTAAATGTGGTTTTTTATTGAGCTTTCATTTTGTTTCATTTTTTGGCCTCTCAACTCCATCTACCCGAAAAAGATATATGCAAATTGATATTGTATGTATGTGTGTGTGTATATATGTATCTGTGTGTGTGTAAAGTATAATTTATATGCATGTTTGGGCCGTCCTGCGGCTGGCAGCATAAATTAATTATCAAAAGCATTCATTTACATGGCTGACTGGGCGATCCGACACCCGCTGGCAGGCGGCACCCTGGCTCATAGATACTGTATCTCACAGATACTTTATGTATATATGTATTATACCCCATTAGCCCCTCTTAACCCCTCTCTATCTCTCACTCTCACACTAGTCAATTTGAAAAACATCATCACAATCAATTTGCTTCGTTTCTCGTGATGGGAATTAAGTTTTTGTATACATCTCTCTCTCTCTCTCTCTTGAGTTTCTGCCTCTGCAACGTTGTTGCTTTTTGTTGTTTTTGTAGTTGGCCCACATTAGCTAGTGAACGTTGAACGCTTTCGTGCCCCTCTTGCTGTTGTTGTTCTCCTACTCATTGTTGTTCTTGCCTTCCTACATGTGTTTAGCGTGTTCAGAAATTTGCTTTTTTAATGACGCTCTTGTTGATTGCCGGCTATTTGTTATTAGCCACCTCCCCTTTCCCCTTCTCCCCTTCTCCCAAGCCAATGCCCTTGTTTCTCGAACTCATTTAAAATTTCGAATATTTTTCGTTTGTATTTTGCAAAACTGAATGCAATTTATTAATAGTTCGAATTGCTTATTTATGGTTCGTTTCACTTGATTTAGTGGCGCAAACATTTTTCGCTATTGTCATGATGACAGCTAATGGCTGAAAAGCGATGAAAAAGGCATAAACTAATTTTATATATATATATCCGCTTATTTTAGCTTATTTCAGTTCATTTTATTTAATATTGGTTATTAGCTTGCCTAGTTTATTAAAGGGGCTTTCTCTTAAATTGCTTTGGCTGTGAGTCATTTATTTTTTATAACTATCTTATCATTGGTCTTTCTTTTTAGCAAACTTTTATGTGATTTATAATGACTAGAAAAGGTTGTTAATGGAATTTTTATTATATTTTTATAGTTATTTATGACCATAAGTTAGTTTTGTTAGCTCATTTTAAGTGAAGTCACACTTTAGTTAAGTTTTAAACTTGTTTTATGATTTATTTAAATTTTTAAGCTATTTTATTTCTGTTTTCCAACTTGGATTTTAGTTTTTTTAACTATTAATAAGATTTTACTTATATAATCTCCTTTGAGTTAACTACAAATAAATACCAAAACTAATCAAATAATTTAAATAGATCATAATTAGCCGTTTAAACTAAAGCAAATAACCCTTTTTATTCACTAAACTAAACGCTATTACCAATATCTTTACAAACTTCATAATCAGATAAAAGCTTTTATTGGCATTTCAGAGCTTGTTGTTATATTTAATAAATAGAATCAATTTCAATTTGAATTCCCTATCAAATTTAAATGATTTTCATTTAATTTGTACACAGGGAGACAGAGAGAGAAAGAGATAGCGAGAGGGATGGGTAGTGTTTTCCCATGGCTCTCGCTTGTCAGGGCAGAGAAAACGGAAAATATAATCCATTTTCACATTGCTCGACTTTGAATTGAAAATTGAAATTGCAAACTTCGAGAGCTCGATGCTAATTCGCATGGGCGGACAGATAGGCAGTTAGACAGGCGGAAAAGTCAGACAAGCGGGGGCGGAAACGAACGTAACTAACAAACGAACAAACGTTTGTCACTGTCGGGGCGTTTTATGAAAATTGAACAAATCAATTAAGTCTAATCGTGCCTGTTGGGTGGGGCCAACAGTAGTCAGGGGGCATTTGTTTCTTTATTTTTTGCCCTGACAAATGGACAAAAATATAAATGTCTAAATTCGAAGGCAGGCCAATGTCAGATTTGCTTTTGTTGGCTAACAAAAACAGCTAAGAGAACACACAAAAAGCAAGTAACTACAACAACAGCTGGCAGCACATGCTACAAATTATGAACACTGTAATTATATTCGTATAATATTTTGTCAGCCAATTGACACATTTGCTCAGAAGTAGTTAGGAAAAGCTAAAGAGAGGGGGAGGCCGAGGCGGAGACGGTAAAAGCCATGGGGCAATTACGCTGGGGGGCTCTCAGCAAATGCGCAAACCAAAGTCGGTTAACGTGGCTCGCGGCTGCAATTGTTGGCCGCCATCTGCGGCTGTTGCGGTTACAGTGGGCCAACGATAAGGTGTTCAGTGATGTAAAATGATTGCTCACTAAAAAACAAACAGAAATTATTATAAATTTGTAACTAAAACGTAATCTTAACTTTTACAGCTTAGCAAAAGTTACTTTAAAGTTCTTTTGACTGAATCTCAACTGTATCTGACTATCTTACAGATTGCTGGCCACTTTTACCATCGTACAGTGTGACAAATTATTATATATGTATGAACATATGTATGTAGAGGAATATGAGTATGCTGGCATGTTACCGGGTTCGTTTCCATATATATAGATATATGTACACACCTACATATAGATATAGATATATACAGATATGTGCATGCACATTTTACACACAAGCTTGGCTCAGTTCGGCTCGCTTGCTCGATGCTGGTGGTGCTAATGACCGTAACTAAGTTGGCGTCACGATTGTGTGCGCCACTGGAAGCCAGCTACCACCTCCTCATGCCCACCTACTTCTCCTAAGCCCACCACCACCTTTTGCGGTTTACTTTGTCCCAGCCATTTGTGTAAAAATATTTTAATGTTATGGCCCGGCCAAGAGAGCTCTGTCTAATAGTCGCTTAATTGTATCTGCGTGTGCGTATAAATGTATCTCTGTATCTTGGCAAGTGTATCTATGCATTTATGACTAAACAGTTGTTTAAATAAACACTTTTGGCATGTTTACTCGAAATGCGTCTGCAATGTTTACTTAATTAAATCGAAAAACGAGCAAACGAAAATGGAACTAAAATCAACAACCCGCCCTCGTTCTCTCTTTCTATCTTTGTCTCTCGCTTTATACAAAGATATAAACTTAAATTTGAATAAACTTGAGATAAGGCGATGGAGATTTTGCTTCCGGAATTAGTTGGGAATTTTAATTTACTCAGATAAGCAAAATAATCAAATAGAATGAACCTCTAAGCGATTGTTTTATTTTTATGGCATTTTATTTATGGCCAGTTGAAGAGTTGAAGGAGAGATAGATAATCAAAGAGTGTTGGCTTATAGTGATATTGTTTAAAGGAAAATGTTAATAACTTAAGTTTTTAACCTGTTAATAGAATAAACTTTCCAGGCGATTTAAAAATATTTCTTAAAAATGAAATACAAAATGTAAAAACCTAATCTTTTGTTTTTCTATTACTTTTCAAGTCATTTTCAATCTGATAAAATATTTTCAAGTCAAGAATTTATATTTATATTCACTGTTCCCAACTCGATTTTATCAGACATTTTGGGTAAGTAAAAATAAAACCCCCTCAAGCACACACACGCGATATTCATTTTCATAATTCGAGTAAATGCAAAACACGCCCAGTGCCACCGCCTTCCATCACCAGCCACCCACCAAAGCTACCAGCTCCCCCCATCATTCCCGTACAGCCCCCGCTTGCCTGTTTTGTTTATCGCTCATCGTTCGGCTGCTCGTTCGCCGTTTTTGCTGTTTGCTATTCGGTTCGCTTGACGCGTCGCCGCAGGCTTCATTAGGCGAGCGTGATTCCGATTCGCATTTCCATTTCGACTCCAATTCCCATGCTCCCCTTCCTTCTTCATCCCATGCTGCACCCCTACAAACGGCCCTCTCCTCCCTCCTCACCAACCTGATGACCCGCGAATTCCGCTTGTCTTCCCACATTACGCTTGCAAAACGAAATTCCATTCCATTGGAGCTGAACAAAAAACCCAAATTAAATCCACTTCAATAAATCTCAAAAAAGGTAAGATACAAAAAATCAGGCCTGTCAATTTTCTAATCGCCCGAAATAACAACAAAAAAAGGCTGAAAAAAAAACTCCATTTAATTACAAATCGGCTTAGATTGAAACGCCTTAATTGGCATTAACTCGAAAGAAAAAACAAAACAAAATGTTTGCTTGTGTGTGTACACGAAAAAACTTGTGTAAAATGCGGCAGCGGTAAGTGGCAAGCGGTAATTAATCAAACTGAACTGGAAATCAATTTAGGCTCGCGCTCTCTCATTCCCTCTCTCTCTGTCTCTCTTATCTTATGCTATCTCTATCTCTGCTGTGCGAACGAGAGAGAAACTGTGTAGTATCTTTAAGATATGTAAGGCCTAACAATACGAATTTTATTGCTGTTTTATGGTCAAATAAAGATCGTTTTATTTGATTTTAAATAAAAATAAGAAATATTTAATAAAAAGAGATTTAAATTTATAAAAAAAAATACTAACTTAAGCAAATAAATAAATGCGTAAATAGGTAACTTACCTTTTTATAAATCCAAAATAGTCGCAATTTCTGCTCTGGATATGCGCGTTCCCAATTTATAGACAGCATCCAAGATGATGAAGAGAGGGTGACGCGGGGGGTTGGGTGGCAATGGAGCGATGGGCAGGTGATGATTCCTTTAGCTTCCTGGCCTGCTCGCACCCACAATGAGCAAATTACCGAGGGGGGGTTAGTGATGGGAGGCGAGAGCGAGTGAGAGAGAGTGAGAGTACGCGAGAGGGCGTAATAATCCACAAAAGAAACTCCCAAACTCCCAGCTCCCGGAGCTAACGGTAGGTGAAATGTAAATCCGCAAAATTTTCCTAGCAGCGCAATCTCAGGAATTATTTTCCATTTATGTAAGAGCGAGAAAGAGAGAGATAGAGTCAAACTTGGCTTTTCCTTCTGCTTTCCACTGGATTCTATTGCTGCTTCTGCTCTGCTTCTTTTTTCTTATTATTCTGCTTGTTTTTCACTTCTTTGACACTTTTTGCATTTGCTTTTCTTTTCTTATATTTTTTTGCGACAAATGTATGAACTTTTTTATGAGGTTAGTTGTTGTTTTTTTTTCTTTTTGCTTTATATCTCTACAAATACACGAAAAAACGGCACTTTGAGTAAAGGCGAGGGAGGAAGAGAACGAGAGAAAGAGAGCGCGTGTCCAAGCTCTGTTGCCTTTGCCTTCTCTCCGCATGTAGATATGTATGTATTATTGGCAGAACAGAAGCTGCTCCACCGCACACATACACATGTTCCTACATACAGATATGTAGAGAGGCGGTGAACAGAGCTTGGGGCATACAAATAAAAAAAATACACGGGGGAGTTGTTGCACGACAAAGCGACAAAGAGCGGGTGAGAGAGGAGGACACGAAGAGACAGAAAGAGAGAGAGGGACTAAACGACCGACCGACTGACGTGACGCGACTTCACCTTGCACACGCGCGGAAATTGGCGAGAGCGACAAAGCGACGACGAGTTCGTCGTTTGTCGGCGTTCTTTTACCGCAATGTTTGTGCGAAACATAAAAAAAGCTTTGCACATACACACAGCGGGAGTGAGCGAGCGAGAAAGAGGAGGGCAATACACACACACATGCATACAGTGGCTGTATAGTAATTTTATTCCGGTACTATTCAACTGATGAAGCTTCTGTTGCTGCTGTTGTTGTTGTTATTGCCAGCAACATATTGCTAGTGCCACACTCTCATTTTGGTTCCTCTCCTTTTCCTTTCCTTTTTTTACTACTACTTTTTAGTAGTATTTTATTTTTTTTTTTGGTGATGATGATTACGCTGCTCTTTTCACACACACACAGGGATACACATACAAACGCACGCACAAGTCAGGCCCAAGTGGGTAATTTGTTTTATGAGTAGCGGCAAATAGCACTTGTGTATGATTGTCGCTCTTCTCCTCCTTCTTCTTGTTGTTGTTACTCTTCTCTTTTCGTTTTCTTGATTTTTTTCTGTTGTGAATGACAGACAGCTACGAGTAATAATTTTTAATGCGTTTTTGGCATTTCTACGCTGCTTTGGGTTAATTGCTTGAAACGCGACGAAACACTAAAGCACACGCACACACACATCGATACGCGTTTACGGCCAGAGAGTGAGAGAGAGAGCGATAGGCCAACAACACTTTTTATTGTTGTTGAATTAAATAAAATGCACACGAGCAAAATAACACTAAGGAGCACCACTGCTTACTTTTTTTAACTGATTTAAATCCTTATTTGTTGTTTTTTTTCGGTTGTTGTTTTTGTTTAATTAACAATTGAACCTGATCCGCTCAGTGTTTTTTTGTTGTTGTATGTTTTTGTTTGGCGACAGCGTTTTATCCGTGGCTGTCAACGTCCGTTCGCTTTGAGTATTTTTCCCGAACGAAGCGAAGGAGCAACGCTTACAAAAGCGCATAAATTGAGAGGCGAGAGTTGGCTAGCAACGCACAGGGTTGTCATGTCGGCGTATGGTAAATAACAATTTCATTTTTGATAAAATGCCTTAATAAGGTTGTTGATTAATCAACATTTGATATTTTAATTTTCTTTTAAATTATTTTGAAAATATTGAAGTGTTAACTAAATATGAATTCTTGTAATAAAGATGAGTTTTTGTTTTACTTTTGTCTAAGACTGACAACCCTGCGGCATTTTCAACTCACACATAGACGCTATGCAGCGCACACACAGGCATTCCCATGCACATACACAATGGCTCTCTGAGCGGCATTTCTTTAATGGCGGCTTTTCGCTCTTGCTCTTGCGCTCTTTGGCGCTGCCTCTCTCCCGCTCTCTTGCTCTGCTGACGCCATATTGCGCAGTTATGTATGTTCATCTCTTTCCAATTTGTTTACAGTGCCGTCGTGTGGTCTCTCACTTGTCCGTTGTTGTTGCTCTTGTTATTGCTATGCCACTGCAAATTGTTTTTGGTGGGGTCCTGAGGATTGATTACTGATTGGCATGTCGTTCGCCTATAGTCAGTTGCCTTTTCTTGTTGTAGTTGTTATTTCTTGTTCTCTACTGTTTCTGTTTCTCCTTCTTATTGTCTTTCACCTTCTCACCACACGCACGCTACTAAACACACGCACGCACACCTCACCATCTCCACCTCATCCTGCCGCCTTTCATTTTGTTGTTGTTGTTGTTGCTGTTGCTTTTTGTTCCACGGTTTGGGGGAGTAGCATATAATGACATAATGAGATTTATTAGGCGCAAAATAAAGCCATAATGTTCCATTTGACCTTTGTGTAACTTTGACAGTGGTAATTCTCGCCTTCCTGTGCCACCGGCTTATTATATCGATGATGGACAAGAAATATCTTCTGTGTATATACATATACATATATATATTCATGTATATGTATGTATAAAGCTAGGCAAAACATGGGCATTTTCAATTCGTCATCAGGATTTTGAAAGTTGCCTTTGATAGGCATCGAAGCAAAAGGCAAATAAATTCCACTTTGCCTAAGTTTCTGTTCAGGAGCGTCTAGGAAAAAGGTAGGGTGACGGGGTACACTTCTTTTAATATATTTTTAAATTTTGATTGGAATATATTTTTCTGTTATCTCTAAAAACGATCAAAGATACTTTTCCAATTTGAATTTCCAATCAGTTAGCGTATAAGGGAAAAAAGTGTTGCCTAGTTATAGGCTTATGTAAATTAAAAATTGCAGTCGTCTTTTAGTAGTCACTTTTAAATGTTCCTTAATTTAGTAATTCCTATTTTAAAACAATTTTTTATAGATATTTCCCAAGTTATGCAATGATTTTGCCTCTTTAGTACAAGTTAAACAAAGAAATCGAATTTGATAGCACATTATCCTTTCGACTCCAGCACAGTTTCATAATATTTTCATCCTTTTTCCTGGTTGCCTGCCACACTGCGACGCTTCCCGATGCTGGCTTTTCCTTTTTGCCGGAAAACTTGTTTGTGCTTTGCAACCAAATATACTTGGGCAAAGTGTTTGCTCCTTGTTTTTTTCCATTGGCATTCGGGCACGCTCTCTCAATTTTATTGCTGTGATTGTGATTTCTAGTTGGATTTGACTATGCACGCATACATACACACACACACATACACACACACACTCACATCGATGGCATTTGGGGAATTGATATCCTTGTGCGCTTTTTGCAAGAGTTCAAATATTTTTCATTTTATTGCTGACACACACAAGCACACATACACGCAAGTGGAGAAGTGGGTTGGTGTAGGAGTTAGTAGTATGTTTGTTTGTATGTATGTCCAGGAAGGACACGCACGTCCTGGGCCCAAGGGTGCTCAGGCAAACAACATTTGTCAATGCTGGCAATATTTCACTCCGGAATGGTCCGTTGCCACTGGATGCCCTCAGTTTACGGCTCAGTGCCTGGCCAAAGGACCAAAGGAACTCAAAAGGCCGGACAAATCCAGTTCGTACAGTTGAGGCTAGAAGAAAAGGGCAAAAGTCTTCTTAAGAATGCAATTACCTAGGTTTATGGTTTACTTTTTAGGTAATTTATTTATACATTTTACTTTCTTAGATTTTGTTTTGTAATAAAAATGTTAAATGTTCTTCAATAATGTATAATTTTTGAACACTTTTAATGTTTTCTTAATACTTAAACGTAAATTTAATCTAATATTTAAAGAGTTAAACATTTTGATAGCCACTGTGTTTCCTGTCAAAATGAAAATAATCCCCCAAAGAGGCGTTCTTGTTTGTATATGTTTGTTGGCCAAAAATGTTGCACATCAATAGAGACATATATAGATATATATGTTTGTATAATACGATATATATATATATATATATATATAGGAAGGATAACCTTCCGCCCGCTCTGAGCAAATTATGTAATTATGTGCGTTGAAAAGTGGCCAAATAAATAGAATTCGAATGGGAATGCTAATGAAGCCATTATTATTTTATGCGCTATTTAAACAAGACCGGCACAGCCACGCCTCCAACGCCAACCCCCATCCCCAAGGACAACAACATTGTATGAATAATAAAAGGGGCGCCACTTCAGCCTGGCGGATAAATAAATATTAATGCCAAACATATTCGGGGCGCGTAAGACTCATCCTTGAGCCAGTCATTGGTCAGTCGTAAAGTGATGCGTAGTGTGTGTGTGTGTGTGTGTGGAAAATGTTGAAAAGGCGAAATGAAAAGCGTTGCGTTCTGTGATTTTGACAGTGCCCATTCCACAGCTTGCCACATTTTGTTGCAAAATATGATTTCATTGTGCTCAAATTGAATTAAATTCTTGGAGTGTGACGTGCCCACCCTCAAAATTTAACACCCCCCGCCTCTGCTCTGCTAACCGAAAATTTCCCAGCTGCCACGACTCTATCTGCAGCGCTCCATCTCTGTTTTTTTTTCCTCACTTTTTTTTGCGTTTTCTGTCTCTTTCTGGTTGGGTATTTTCCTTTTGGTAGCTTTCTGAACGGAAGCGGATATTTTCAACGCGCCATTGTTATTTTTTGAGTGCGGGAAATTGTTCGCCCCAGCTTTGCTCCTCTGCGTCCTTCTCCCTTCTTAGCCCCTTCTCTTTCCCTTCCTTGCTTCTCCATTTCTCCGGGTGAAAGCAAACGAAGCGAGGGACCGACCAAAAGCGTCGTC